GTCTGGTGGTGTGAGAGTTTGTCCCGGGAGAAAGTTCTCCCAAGTTGAGTTTGTTGGTGTCTTGGTGGGTCTTTTCAAAGATTATAAGGTTAAGTCTGTACAGCTTGAGGGTGAGAGTGAGGAGGATGCAATTGAGAGGTTGAAGTTGTTGATTAAGGAGGATACTGGGTTTAGATTGCTGTTGCAGTTGTTACATCCCGAAAGAATGTTCTTGAAATGGGAGAAGAGAGTTTGATTGCCTTATGTACGGGGTAAGAAGACGTTTTTGTAAGAGATGGGAGGGATATATATACATTGTAATTATTTGATTGTAAAGGTATAAAAGATTCGTCTTTTCTCTTAACTATGTGTATCACGATGTATCTCCACGCATTTAGTACGAATGGTTTAGGCTTTGACTCGTCTCTTGGTTGCAACGAAATCCGTGATCAAATCGAGTTTACTTCGAGCCATGCAGGTTTTTTAATCTTCTTCTCCTCATCGAAAGTTCAGAATTATTATCACTTGCGAGTGCAGCTTCGCTATCTATCTACATCATGTTTTATCATTCACATTAATTTCATTGTCAGTTGGCTCAAGCTGTGAAATACTACAAATTTCTCATTACAATTCTCTCTTGTGATACAGGTTTCAAGGGGTGGTATACTCAAGAGATCTACCCAACCTTCCCTCCCTCCATCTGACACGCTCTCGATATTTACTGTGCAAATTCTATATTTCTCTCACCTCAGAGAAAGTAGTACCTTTTATATCCTCCCTTCGCATGTACATTGCACGGTCAGAAAGAATGCAATCTCATTTTCCAGATCTCTTGATGTATCATTGTAAGCTATTCCTCCACACCATAATTCACTCAAACTTACACTTGTCTACCTTTGCCCAGTTTCGCCCTAGGTTTCTGAACTATATAACACCCTAGAAACTTTCCAAATTTTTCCCTTCTCATAAATAAATAAACCTTTCTCCATTGGGATTATGTGAGGAATATTATCTGATTATTCTTACCTCTCAATCTCATATAACATATATCACAAATCTATCTATTTTCCGGATCTCGAAAACGGAAATAACTGCTTTCACCCGAGCAATTTCTACAATCATATTGTCATATTCACACTCTTCTTATCATCTGTAATTTTTCATAATTTTAATTGTTTTTCTTCCCTTCCTTTTTTTTCTTTTCATTCTTTATCACTCACAATATATCGTACCACACCTCGAACTCCACTCAGTGGACAATCCCTCCAATATTTGTGAGCCGTAACAGTAGACTTATCTCATCGTACATGGAAACCATCTTACGTATGTTTGTTCTACACAGCTCCAGATTGCTTCTCGTATTCGTGTTTATACTTCTGGAACTCTGGAAAGTATTCGTTATCAAGAATCCTTTGTGATGTGTTACTTACTAATAGGGAAGTCCTCAAGGTTTTGACGTTTAAAGGTTAAATGATACGGTGTATTTTATCCAATGCATGGTCGAAATATATCTTATTATTGTTCACAGAATACATTTCCCGGTTGGCGGATCTCGAATCCTAGAAATGAGATGGAGGATTTATTTCTTGTGATTAACAGAATGAATAAAATGAACAAATTTCTCAAAAATCTTTCTGTTGTATGGAGCGGTCGATACAATGATGACTGAGGATCTACTTGACACCCAGATATATTCCCACGAGCACCATAGTTGATGTCCAAAAGCAATGTCTCTTGCTTCTCTCAAAGTCCGATTCTTTAGACCATGATTGAGATAGAGACAGAGATATTAACGACGATCACATTTTTCTATTGAATTCATGAAGGGTGTACAGTTCTCGCTATCGTTTTATTCATCTTATTGTTAAATCTTAACGACGTGAAATCTGTCCCCTCCTTTCCCACCCCCAAAAAAGATTCAATGTACGTTTCGACGGACTAGATTCTTTGTTATTTTAGCTCCTATACAGGGCCATTGCTTCTTTGAACAGCCATACACAGTCAGCAGAATCCTGATGTGAATTATAAGATGAGAGAATGATTATCACTTCGGGTTTTTATAGTCAACTTCGTTTCGGAAACCTCGAATCTCAGTCATCTACAGACTACAGTACCGTTTCCAGTTTCCTGTAATGCAGAGACAGCGAGTAAGACATAATGCAGCATAAGTATAAGCTTAAGCGTCTTGGTCGTTTGTTTCCCAAACAAAACCTCCGCTACTCGCACGCTGAGAGGCCACATACCTTTTCCTTCGTTGAAAGCCGAGAAATAAGGGTGCTGGACTATTTTGGACCCAGTGATTGAAAGTCATCCGCATATGGGAAGCCCGTCATCATACTTATTCCTGGATCTGTCTGTGGGTGCGTAGTTACCACAGACCCTGGGTTTTATTGTCGTTTCTCTCAACCAATTGATATCACTGTTTTATATATCAACTGCAATTAATTGCTGCCACTCACCCTGAGCTACGTCACATTTGTCAATCTACATAGCAAAGTTGATATGTATAGTATTTCAATAGAAAGCACCAGAAACCCCCGAAATTTCTCTTGTTTTAAGAAACGCAGGTTTCAATCACACCATATATGCTGTGACTTCGCAAATTGATTCACAGTTTGCTTCCTCCAAAGCCTCCCTCTTGCTCCTTTATAACCACAATATTAAATCAAAATCCAAGAGCATTCCAATCCTTATGATTTCCGTCCAAAGACGCAAGATCATCTCATTTATTCAGAATCTTACAAGGCGGAACGGATATTTTGAAGCATACTATCGAGATAGATTCCAGATTTCAAGCAACGCGTAACTTGCAAGGGAATTTCAAGGACACAAAAATACATACATACACATAATCTTGACCAGAAAGTCTGGAAGTCTATTCGAATTAACTCTTTTCAGCCCTCTACTCAAAGTCAGATCTTTACTCTTACAATACCACCTATACCTAACTTTACAGCACCAATCCGCTAGGAACAGTACCAACATTTTTTACAACAAATATGAATCTATCCACTCGAAATCTGATAAGATCGAGCTTTCCCATGCTATCGATTGTCACAACTGTTCTGAACACTTTCGATTTCTCAACGATGATAAAGCCAAATATGAGAACAGGTTTACATGGCTAGAATCCGATCAAATATCAATATCAAATTTTGTGGGAAATGAAATCATATCTTCCATTGAATCTATAATCATTCATGACGAAAATTTATGCATTGAATAGCAATTTGACGGGGATTCAACAAGACGTTAAGTGTAAAAATGATGTGCTGAATCTTTTGTTCATGCATTGAAGTCTGTTGAAAATATTCTGAATTGAATACCTAGATCAAGCGTGTTCTCTATTTGCTACCAAGGTAGGAAAGATGAGGAATATCTTATGGGGAAACTTATAAAATGGTATCATTCATTGTAATGTATTAAGATTTTTCGACAAAAACCCCAAGACTATTTCTGCAACGTGATCAAGATGAGCCGGGTATGCTCTTTCCCTCTCAGACGATAGCTGTTTCTCGTACAATAATATGATAAATTCTGGGGTATGAATATCCCATTCCCCTTCAACCTTCACAAAGCAACTTCTGGTCCGAAGAACACATAGAAGAAAATGATGCATCCTAAGTCCACGCGAGTTATAGTGTACTTATTATCTCCAAACAAGATCGAGATTCAAACCAGTCAAGAAATATTCATTCTCGTTTGAGACACACATAAGCTCTATAGATCTTAATCCCTTTCTCGCTGTCGTTTGTCTCGAGAAGTGTTCGTGAATGTATGCAGATACTTGACTGTTACCGTCCACTAACCCTCTCATCGCCAGTACAATCAACTATAAGAAGTTTTCCTACCGGGTCTTGAATCACAAAATCAATATAAATTTCTCAAAATGACACTTGCATAGCGTTACGTGAGACCTGGATATTGATGCATAGTTAGAAGATGAAGTGATGCCATGTTATATTCCGCATTGAAAGTATTGGAGTAGAGTAAGTAAGTACTTCGGGTGCTATATATGAAGAAGACGCCAAATTCGAGCAACCGATCCTCGTGCAGTTGAGTAACAAATATGTTTGAAGCATAAAAAGACATGCTATGTTCACTTTACCTGGAATCAGCATACTATGATTTAGTCGGAAGCGGAAGCGATAGATGGAAGAAGCTTTTGGATGCCTTGTTAGAGTATATAGCTGGAGGTAGACACATGTTCGAGTCGACTTATTCAAGGCTCAGCACCGGCAATATCGTGCGAGTTGGGGTATCGTTGTCATTTAACAGAATCGTCATTATCTTAAATCAAATATCTCATTCGAATTCGAATTCGAACTAGGACTGTCGTCAAAAAGCTTTCTTGCCCGTGGAGAGCTATGTAAATCACAAAAACCACGCACACTCGAAAATATCATGCCCACCGAGGACGATATCAATTCCGTAGAACAATTACGTAGAATAAAGATTCTAAGAAGAGCATGGAAAAACATCGAGCAATTGCTGTCGGGAAATCTTATGGAAGAAATTAGAGAAGTGATGGAGAGTTATATACACTTGATGACAGATTTATTCCTGATTTAGACTGGATTCACTAGATTATGCGAGGCATCTTAGTTTCGACCACTCAATCTTAAAATTTGTGATGGAACATCGAAATCACTGATTCTTGATTTCTAGAATCGTTATACAATTTGGCTATTTTGATCCTGGTATATCAAACATCTCATTTAAAAGATAAGTACGGGGTAAGTATACAGCAAATTCTCAAGCCTTCCTAATCAAGTACAGTCACCCAAAAAAAAAACTTTCAGGCTCAAAAATATTCAGTTCTGTTTATACAAGACATAATATATACAAGAAAGTGACATGAAGCCCATTCAACTCATCCTCCGGCTCATTCATAAATCTTCCATTCAAGCTATACCTGATAGCCCGAATCAAATCCAAAAACAAACCATCAAAATATCATCAAAAAGCTTTTTGGTCAAAGAAGGTACTGAGTTTCAACAACCAACCAAGAGGTTGAATATTTATGCAGTGACGGTAACAGTTACGACATCGGTAACGGTAACGTAGTCAGTGATCATATCAGTAACAACGCTTGAAGGGGCAGCAGTAACAGCTGGGGCAGAAGTGACAACTGATGCTGCGGAACTGGCAATGACTGATGAGACAACGCTAGCAGCGGAACTGGTAGCGGCAACTTCGGCGGCCGTGGTTTGAGCGGAAGAAGAGGCGACGATAGCGGCTGAAGAAGCGGCGCTTGAGGTTGCAACAGCGGCAGCAGATGAAGCAGCGGAAGAAACGACAGCGGCAACGGTGGCAACTGCTCCGGAAGTACCTAAATTGAGTTAGATGTTATGATTCAAGGAGTAAGATTTGTATGGGGAGGAAATAGAAAGCTTACCTTGAGCAACGGAGGCAGTAGCAGAAGCCCATTGAGTAGGACCTGGAACATCGTAAGAAGCGAGGGAGGCATAGATGTTGACGTTAACACCAGCATCAGTCTCAGTGTAAAGAGCTGTACCAAGAACGGTATCTGCGCTAGCTGGGACAGCGGATCCAGTTCCGGAAACCCAAAGGTTAACACATTGTGGGTAGTTTTGAGCTCCATTGGCTTGCTCAGCGGAGTGGAGAGCGATGATCTCGTGGCGGAGAACGTAGGCACCTGGTGCCAAGGACTCTGGGATGGTGACAGACCAGGAGTTGTTGTTGGCGATGAGCTGATCAGATGCCCATGTACCTGGGACGGTGGCATCATTGACAAGTCCTACACCATCGATCTTGAAGAATCCAAGGGTGGTCTTGTCGACAGTTTTACAATCATTTCCGGTACAGGCAGCAAGGTAGTCTAAATGACGAATTAGCAAAAAGAATATGCAAAAAGAATCGACATGAACATACCAATGACTGGACCGTGATGCGAATCAGGCCAGACAGTCCATTGCAAGTTGACCTCACTTCCGGCAGTAACATTAACGTATCCTTGAGCGTTGGTAGCGGCCAAGTGGCAAATGATGTCGGATGTACCATAAGCATCTGGTGCAATGAAACCATTCGATTGATCAGTTGGATCGGACCACCCAGCAACAACTGGTGCAACTTGTTCGTATTGGAAAGCTGGGTTATAACCCTCATACCTATTTGAATGAGCGTTTATTTCTAAAACTCCATTTGAGTGTTACTTACCAAACTCCATCAGCAGTGATACCTTGGACACGTCCGTGAGCAGCAACACCAGAGATAAAAGCGGCACCAGCCACAACAGCGATCTTGGAGAAAGACATTTTTGATGATGAAATCTTGAGATTGATGATTTTGATGGGGGAAGTTTTCGAAAGTTTTTCGCAAGGTGGAAAAAATGAGCGTTTGGTTTAAAAAATTGGATAAGCTTCAATCAATGAAGTAATGAGTGTAGATAGTCGCCGAGGACTGTGTAAATGAATGTGATGGGTAAAGAAAGAAACGTTTGCTTGAACGATGAGGAATTCGAAGTCAAGCTGGCCAAGGGAAAGATACTTATACAAACTTTAGAGAATGGGACATAGCCCTGTATCATTAGATGAACTGGTCAGTTGTGGAGATTCAATCTGTATACAACAAACTGAATATCCCAGTTATCCGTGAATCGCACGATAAGATTTTGCTTGCAAAGGCAGTCAAGGGGGATTCGCAAAAGGGCTAGAAACATGTCCAAAAAGCTTATGCTCGTCATAAAGCTTGAACTAGATTGGATAAAAATTGCTTGTGGATGGCTTGAGTGAACGAAAGAAGTAATTCAAGGCGGTAATTAGCAATATATTTGTTGCTCGCAAGGATATTTTGATTTGAAAAGGGTGACGACTCATACATGAATCAATTCCTTCCAATATATGCCTCCCCACTTCATTCTGACCGATATCCGAATTCCTCAGATGAAAATGAGAGGAGATTGGATGAATTTTGGGGATTTTACCACCTTGAAGCTGTGGCAAGGGTATGAAACATAGATCTCGTTTAATTACCCCCTGTAATTAAATCCTAGGCTCACTCTGTACTAACAGAGTGACAGACTTGGTCTGTGTCACATATCGTCGTTTCGACCATGCAATGCTACCAATGCATGGGAATTGTCTATTGTTCCCATCCAATAAACGTTCACTAGAACAGTCTAGATGAAAAGATTCAATAGCATAACCAATAATGCTTCGTTAAAACAATTCTTTGAAACTACCGACGACGTTCGATTTATTAAACTTTCGGCTCCGTCGACCAGATTCCATCATTTCACCACGCCTGGAGAAGGGTAAGGGGAAATAAATTGAGTTGAAAGGGGGCGACTCTACATTGTGTGCCTATTTGTTTTTGGCGGTTATGATGCTGTTGTCGCCAGGATGGAATGCCAAAAGAAGCAATTTGTTGTTCATGATTTCCGATAGATTAATATTTTCTATGCGAATGAAGCTGCGACTGTCCCAGTGTAGCAAACTGAGGGTCTCCAATTTCTTCATCATTATCGTATTCGCTCCATATGTCGAATGAAGGTCCAAAAGACTCGATGTAGCCATTTGCTATTCATTAATTTCGGGCACCCGTTCGAAAATTGATTCTGAACTACTCCGAAAAAGATACTTGGAGTAGAACCTGACTGTAATATTTGGTACTGAATAGCGATTATCGATTCGAAACAGGAAGCTAGAGCCGTTGAATATCAATAGGATTGGCGGCAGGATTCAAAAGTAACCTCCAAGTATGTACAATTCATTTGTTTTCGGAATTGCGGCAGCTCGAAAGCACTTGAGAACTTGCTTGGGTCCTGACTGGGATTCATGGGAAGAGAACCTTAAATATGGAAGGGTGGTGATTTCGCAAACGGTTCAAGGTTGTTTCTGCATGATCCCATTGCTTGTCAATTTTAGTGAATGGCTCTCGAGCTTTTTGAAGGGTTTGTTCAATCTGTAGCCTCTTCACATCGTAGAACATATACAAGACATGAGCTACCTACCGGGGAGGAAGGATTTGGCGCAAAGTCTCGGCCGCACTTCTAGATTTTAACGTCATCTCCTACCACTCATTGCCTCGGAACAGTCGACATCAAAGCATCAGAAGAGAAGCATATGTTGCGGCATGCATGGCGCTCGAGTACATGCAGACAACTTCTTAAAGGAGCTCACATCGACCGTGTAAGACTTTACGGATTTGGAAGACAAGATTGCCGTGAGTGCCTGGGCTCATTTTGCATCGCATAAAACAACTTAAGTCCAATTGATTCGTATCAAGAGGTCAGTATGGAAGCGATCTCGTCATTGTAGTGAATGATTGCCCGTTGTGATTTCGACAACCTTCTTCCCACAAAGATTTTCCCAAATTCGAAACATCTCATCTTTCGAATATTGAGGATACAACTGTTTCATTCGTATTGGCGGTGTAAAAGATTTCTCCCGTAGGGTTATTTTCTTTTGTGTTGCTACTCCCGACGCCAGTCTTGAGTTGTGTGGTGTCGCCCACGTTGATATCGTGACGAGTCTTCGGTCTGTGTTTCAATTCAAAATATTCTGGCACGAAGAACTTTTTGAAGTCGGTGATCTTGTTATGGGGATGGTCGTCCATTTCGTATGAGGATGATTTGGTCTTGGCGCTACCTATGCTTTTTGTCCACTTCTTGGCCATTCACGGCCCCGTTGTTTAAACATTAAAATGCGATTGTGAGTTTGTTGATCTTGCACTTGGTGATATTGAGTTTCTTGGGTCGTATTTGACTTTTCAATACCCGAGAGGCTGGCGGGGAATATTTGGTTTGCGACTACACCTCGATTGACTTTATGAGGAGTGCATATAATATAATGATCCCTCAAGATGATGGAGGTACTAGTAAGATACATGGACCATAATTACGACATTGTCGATGGAATTCATTGCCCTATTTACCATCGATACCATCGATACCTTCGTGAACTTTTCTCTCTTTTTCTGTGAATCTGATTCTGAGCTTGTAGATTGCCTCTTTCAAGCTCTTTTGATCGTTCTTTCCTAGCTTTTAGATTAAAAGAAGATACCACGTAGAAATGAGTAGGAAATCGTAGTGGTTCACGATTTGTGTGATAGAGAATTTACATTGAATTTTAATAAATTCCTATTAATTACTATGAAAGGTGCAGAAGTCAAAATCGTTATCTACAATCATAATATTTTGGTCATGTTAAAATGTGAACTTGATCCGTTTGCTATTATGCAATAAGACTACAGTCTATCACCCTCTTCAATTCCGTTTCCATGTGCCCCAGGAATAAATCTCAAGATATTGTCGTATCACTGCCGCCTTTCACCATGCTTCGGCAAATGCAATTTACCATTTCACGGTCTGACCCTGTGAGAAGGATAGCTGTAATTCGCGGGAATCTGACTACCATTTCTTTGATTTGTATGAGATCTCGGCACTGAATCTGGCAATTGTCTAGATTCTTGCAAATCAGCGGTGATGGGACAATGATGCTCACGCGCTACAGCCCTATGCCCTGACAGTCGTGGATACTGTTGAGGAGTAGACAATTGATCTTGTTTGTGCATATTACGAGGCGGCAGAGCTGGATTTTCTCTTGTTTTAGGAATAATGATTTCTTTATTTTGACCCCGAGTAGAGTTTGTCCTTTCATCTTCAGCACGAGTCCTTCTCCTGTTTGGGGGTCGACTGTTACTGGAATCACTCCCCAAACCACTCTCTGCTCCATGATAACTTGAGCTCATTCTTGGAATGTCGACTCGTCCCATGCGTCTTTGACCTGAAGGAAGATCATTTGTTTGGCTTTGTCTTGGAATATGAGGTCTGGATTTGTGCGGTGTTGGATTTGGAATGTGTTGCTTTGATCTAGACTGTGAGGGTATCGTAGCTTCTGGGGGAGGCCTGGAACTGGGATTTGCACCGGCTGCTAAGAAGATTTCATATTCAATCTGGCTGAGTGTAAGATCACTTTTCTTAGCCGGTTCTTTCGATACTGGCTTTCTTGGAATTCTCCCGTTACTGTGATTTTTAGGAGAGGCCGCAGCAGAGTGTTCGTTTGCACCCGATTGACCATCAGCTTCATTCTCTCCGCGCACTTCAGAATTCATACGTTCAAACTTCTGAGGAATTTTAGCAACTGTGTATCGATTCCAGTCCGGTTGCGGTTGTGCCAGAACTAGTTTTGGATCCCGTGCTGATGTATATTTTGGTTTCTCAATATATCTTAATCCACTCCCTCTAGGTTCATCTCGCTGCCTCTCTCTTTTCGCTCCGTTTTGTTCCCGAAGACCCGAGCTGTTTGTTCTCATTGTTCGATTTTACTATGAAAGTTTCCAACAATAAGCTATTTAATAGAAGATGATAGGCGTGGTTATGGCAAGAAGCAGTGATAACGATGAAAGACTTGTGCATGAGAAGATGAAAATAGTATGAATTGGATCTAAGTGAAGGTAAAAATCTCTCAAGGAAAGATTTCTTTATATAGATACCTGTACCTGTATCATAACATTTTTTTCTCTGAGTTATGTTGCTTTAAAAGACTTCTTTCCTAACAACTACTTCTTCCAATAAGGTCCATGGCGAAGCGGGTACAAAACTTTTAAAGTGACCAGATATCAGGGTGAAATAATCACTTCACGGTAAGGCCATTGAGCGGTCTACAGATCCTCATCCTCAAAGTTCTGAAAAGCGACCAAAATCATCCAAGAATGGAATAATGTAGCTTTCATGCAGCATCGGGCAGTAAGTTTTACAATGTCTCTCATGCCTATCATCAGATATCTTGAAAACTTGCGCCACATTATCCATCCACCGCTCTTCCAGCCAACGTGAAAAGGCGATAATGGTCTCAAGTGACTCAATGGCCAGGTTCACTTGACCACTGAAATTCTCTTCTTGACACTTGCTGGTAGCCGATTATAATACTGTGAGAAGAGACCTTTCACTCGAATTTAAATTTATGGACAGAACAATCCCCGGTGATACGTACATTGCAGAATGAAAAAATAGAAGAGCGATTAGACTGAAGCCTTCTTCAGTGTGATGCCATCCCAGAGACAATAGAACTTATATGACCTATACATCGAGGGACATATCCGCGTAGGTAGTCATGTGATGGACGAAAGAGGAGAGCAGATATGAGCACATATGAGCAGGCAATGATATTATTCGGCGAAGAGATTACGTACGCGTTTACGACTCTCAATCAAGATAAATCTACTGGATCCACAACACAAGATTCAGTATGGGTTGGGTTTTGTATAAAAGGTCACTCATTTCCATCGCAGCCAAGAATTATTTGTAAAGATATGTTGATGAAATCCAAGAGCCATTTTTTGGAGCTGTCAATCAACGATACCTACAGGAACACTGCGGGACGTTCCTTACGATCTGATGTTGTCGCATTATACGGGCGTTTCGAGGACACTTGAAGGGTGGAATGAGAGACCTTTACTAATTGGTATTGGATTAAGCGCTTACCAAGAGACAAGTAGGTCACTCTACATATAGGAGGGTAACATTCAAAGACGACATTTGTTTTTATCAAAAGTTTCACAACGTTTATATCCTATTCAATTTATTCATTTCATCAGACTTGGACAAACATCGATTGCCTACCTACCTCCTACCAACGAACTGACGTTTAACGTTAGAACTTAGGCGAGTATAAATTCCGTTTGAAACACCAACAACTTAACCACCAATCGGAGAAAATCAATCAATAGGGCGCCAGAGCCGTACGCCAAGGTCTTATTTGTTGACATTATTGGCCAGAGAGCACACGTTTTGCGGTAAATGGAAACCTGGGTGTACCCCTGGATTATTAATAAACTTTCATCACATATTTTTTCTTTTTCAACCCACCTTGATCCTCATCTAATCTATTTGATTCCACTTCATTTCCGCGATTAGGTTGGCAGGCTTACTCCCTCTTATCGTATATTTGGACTTTTTTTGGAAGGATTGAAAGAGTCGGTGCTAATACGACAGCCTTGGCTTCCAGTCTTCCTGTCTGTGCAATACGTTATATGCCATCGGAACACTGATTCGCAAAGTTGCGTATCTTATTCCATTGAAGATCAAACTCTTTATCAAAAGACTGATGTAGTAGGTAGGTACACTATGGAATTAGACCTTCAATAGAACATTTAGCGAATATTTTACCACACAGCCACAAGTGTGTCATAAGATTCCAAGGCTTCCAAAGCTTCATCCAATGCATTATGCTTGGCATGCGGAAGTACATCTCGATTGATTGAAAAACCAGATGAACAATGAATCAAGGAGGTCTTGAACAATGGAGTTGATGATAAAAGAAACAGCATTATAGCTACGTTCGAAACATCAGGAGTAAAATATTACCACGTCTAGATCGGAACATTAGATCAACGAGATTGCGGCCACGCCTACAGTTAATCTAAAACACTCCAAGAGCCCCAAAGCGTTTCGAAATGCGGGTAATCCTAGTCCTCTTTCTCCAAATTCAACACCTTCCACCAATTGGATTAATATCTTCATCTCCATTTACAAACAATATTTGATCCCTTTTGGAAGCGCCTGGAATTAAGAGATGAAAGTGGTATGGAAACAGCATCATATTCAATATATTCTCGACTTCTTGGCACTCGTTGTCGACCAGATGACAAGGCTATGAGGTATGAAGTAGATGCATACAGATTGTGGTAGAGCGCCTACTCATATCACGATGGCGTGAATGGATTACAAGGGTGTAAATTCAAAATTTTATATATTCCGTCGGCTCCTTCTCCCCAATGATTCATTTCTCAACCACATCAAAGCAAGCCTTTGTACATTCAAGTTCTATCATTCTCTTCTCGCTCTATCACACTCTCTTTTTTGCTTTACGCATCTTACATTCATTCAGCTGGTCTAACATCTCAAATTCTTTTGTGAACTTTTTTATCACTCGATTATCAAACTACCTCACTTTTCCCCCCCCCAATTCAAAAAATATCAATCAAGATGTCTTTCTCTAAGCTCACCGCTTTCGCCAGTATGGTCGCCGCAGTTTCCGCTCACGGATATGTTTCCGGTATTGTAGCTGGTGGAACCTAGTAAGTTTAAACTTTCTCGCGTCATCATAAAACTCCAATGTATTGACTCAATATAGCTACACTGGATGGCTCGTTAGCAACGCATACCAAACCCCACAACCTGAATCCATCGGTTGGGCTGACACCAATCTTGATCTCGGTTTCACATCACCATCTGCTTATACCACTGGTGATATCATCTGTGCTAAAGAAGCTACCAACGCTGCTCTCTCAGCTAAAGTTGCCGCTGGTGACAGCGTTGACTTCCAATGGACTGTCTGGCCTAATTCGCATCACGGTCCAGTCATCACCTACCTTGCCAACTGCAATGGAGACTGTGCTACCGTTGACAAGACTACTCTTAAATTCTTCAAGATTGACGAAGCTGGCTTGATAGACGACACCACCGTTCCCGGAACCTGGGCTTCCGACAAAATGATTGCCAACAACAACACCTGGACCACTACCATCCCAGCCGATCTCGCTCCTGGAAACTACGTCGCTCGTCATGAGATTATCGCTCTCCACAGTGCCGGTTCCGCGGATGGTGCTCAAAACTACCCTCAATGTATCAACTTCGAGGTCAGTGGTTCCGGTACCCTGGCTCCTGCAGGAACTCTCGGTGAGGCTCTCTACACTCCTACCGACCCAGGTATCTTGGTCAACATTTACTCTCCCCTCACCTACACTATTCCCGGCCCAGCTATGTACAACGCTTCCGGAGCCGCCACCGGAGCCGCATCCGGAGTGGCATCCGCTACCTCCGCCGCCGCTAGCGTTGCTACTTCCGCCGCTTCTGTTGCCACCAGTGCCGCCGCTAGCTCTATGACTTCTGCCGCCGCTTCCACCGTTTCCTCCGTTGCCATTTCAAGCGCAGCCGGTGCCATTATCTCCACAACCGCTGCTCCAACCACGATGATCACATCCGTTGCTCCAGCCGCTACCTCCGCCGCTGCTTCTGATGCTGGTGAGACATGTGACGCATAAGCGTTTTGGCCCGCTGCTCAAAACCACGGGAGATTGATTTGGATGGATAAATGAGAGTTTGGTTTTCAATGTAAATATACTTTTTTTTTTTTTTGAATAGAAGACTCTTTTTGTAGTCTTTCTATTACACATACAAACTAGCGTTTAGGAATGATAGAAGTTTCAAACCCCCAAAAATTAGAGTATGATTGGTGTGATGTGATGAAGACCAGACTAGATTGATTTTGCTCGTTGATGACTTGCTTGTAAATCCCTGATGGATAAAAAGACCAGACCTGAACCTAGTTAGCTTGCTTTCCACTTCCAAATCTAGAGTGTATGTTAAACAATTATATCGTGAATATGATGGGTAGAACCATTCAATCCGAACCACGTTTGATTTCTCCAGGCTTTACCCCTCTCTCCCCTCCCTCCCAAAATAATTTCTACGAAACGAATACAACTCTCCGTAAATCTAAACACTCGCGAACTCAGCCCCATCTAAAAATTAAAGAAACCCCGGTAGCATTCCGAGAACGATCGACTTTTATCCGGCGTCATGAGCAATTGTAATACAAGCACAAAGTACCGCGACCGACAAAATTGCTAGATGAGCGAGCGACAAGAAAAATTAGAGGTAGATGGGTAAGGGTAACGTGATTGAGTAGAATTCTAGACATGCAACACTGAGTTTAAATCGAGATGAGTGACGTGATCAACAATTTCATGAGACATCCAACGGGAATATTTTCATTCTTTCTGTCACGAGAAATATCATGTGGATGAACTGTAATTGGTCAAATGACATCAACTTTGCCGTTAAAGAAATCCTCAACCACGATCCAAAAGAAGAAAAAAGTACAATGTGCAGTGTTAACATTCCTATGCATGAGGCCGGTATATCATCTGACTCCTATATATGTCGACTTGGATATGATTAATTTGGCCTACCGTATCCTTGAGGGTCGTGATTTCATGTTAATATCATTCCGTGGAGAGATTGAGAAGAAAAATCTAGATCTCTTGATGAATTTTTATGATAAATATTAGAAATAGTAATTTTTTATGTATTAATACTAAAAATTTCATGATTAACATTTTTTCTTTAACTAGTATTACTGATATTTTTGCTCTAAATACTTTTAAAAAAAATGATATTTTTATTGTTTATTTTTTTTTGTTATTTTAATCTTAAAATTTAAAGTTACAATATTCTAGATTTATTTTTGAATTAACTCGATTTGAAAAAGTAAACATTTCTTCATTAAATGGATTAATAAAATAAAATAATTTTATTAAAATTATTGAAATTATATTCAATAAAAGTTTTTCTAATTTATTATTAAAAGTATATTTTAAATCATATTCTTTATATTGAAATTATAAGATGAAAAACTAGATAATAATATATTATAAGATATAGAATTATAAGATAAAATTAGATTTTCTATTTTACGATTAGAATATTCCTTTTTTTTTATGTAAGAGTTAAGGCCCCGGCTTATCGTATACTACTCTTTTTCGTAACAAAATCCTTATAAAAATATTATTTCCTCATATAAATTAATTATTTTTATAATTCTTCAACTATTTATAAAATTGATATAAAAATTATATATAGAAGAAAAACTTATATAAAGGATCTTCGATTTAAATAGTTTCTTGAATTTTTAAAGATTAATAAATTTATAGGTTTTTAAAGTTGAAATCTTTTAAAATTTATAACATGTAATACTTTTTCCATAAAAAAAAATCACTTTTTTCATGCTTTTTAATAATTTCAACTTTAAGAACCTATAACTATATAAAAAAAAATACTAAAAATATTTCATTCATTTTTTTAATCATTTCAATGATCATTTTTATAAACTTAATTTAAAGATTAATTGAATTAATATATAGTTTAAAAGTTAAAGAAATGAGGTGTTTTGACATGTTTTCGCTTACTATACGATAAGACGAGGCCTAAACTCTTACTAATATAGAGATTAAAATAACATTTTCTTTATTTTAAAACTAGAATAATATTCATTAAGAAGTTAAATTTTAGAACAAAAATATCATTTTTTAAAAAAGTGTTCAGAGTTAAAATGTTAAAAGTGCTAGTTTTGAAAAAGAAAATGTCAATTTTGATATCTTTAATATTAATTGACGGAAAGCGATACAATTGCGATATATTGTGTCATGGCTCATATGTGATTTTCTTAAGAAGGTGACGATATACTCCCATTTGATACTGTTTCTGGATCCTTGTGCCGAGTGAGGCTTTTGAGAATCACACGAGTTTGTCATTTGAGTAGTTTTAAGAAAGAATCTTCTGAGTGTTCAGTGCTCCGTTATGTAGTATTCCAGCATCCGATACCGGCTTTCTTATTTTGAGATCCAATAGCAGCTTGATCGTCTCGACCTCCACGAATTTCGTGCGTGGGGGTATCATTGCATTGTAGTCTGCTTGAGGAACCATTCGCTTGGAACGAATCCCTTTCAGTACAGAAACTTGTTTATGCATCGTCGTATTACGCGGGGTGATTACCCCTCCCTCGAAACGGTTTCCCAAAGCATTGAGATTTACATCTTCACCTCGCATCTTATTCACAATATCTTTGAGCCAACAATGATGCGTGGCAAATTAACATAGCGCTTCCCGGAAGTTCTGCCATTGGAAGATTCGATCGAATGAATCCTAGACCAAATTCAAGAGAATGTTGTGGGAAACCATTCTGCAGAGCTTGACAAATTCTTTCAATACACTTCTCAAACTCGCTGCTCCGACACCATAGCCTTGTTTTTATAATATCATCAAAAATCCGGCGGCATCCTCGATAACCTTTTCAGTCATCCGATTACATTGTTGGTCTGTTGACTAGGGATACCAGGGACTTGAACGTGCAATCATCGATGTCAAGCTCTTGCTATCTTTCTCTTGATTTCATACAGAGCCAAGAGACTGAGGCGGGTTCCCTTGATCTACTCCGAGAATAGGTGTGCTAATTTTACCTGTCTCCCGCCAAGATATGGTGATTAGACTCCTTCCAAATTCCAACATATTCTCCAGGCGAAAAACATGGTCCTGTTTGTCTTCTGCGAGCTGTCAAATTCCAATTACTCAGATTGATCGCCAGTCAATACTGATCGGACGAAGGGACGAATACAGGACGTGGCAGGAAGAGAAGTTTACGTAATGAGATCAAGACCATTGATAATGTATTGATCAACAGACTCCTCACAAGATGGATCAAATCTCAAAGAAATAGATGTAATACTAACCTAGTGCATCCTAAATTGACATCTCAATAGCTCTTGGAGATCATTCTAGAATTTAGAGAGGTTGAAATGCCCACCCTGTACCATGGGAAACAAGAATCTGTATGGAAAGTCACACATGTTCTCAAACATTTTTGGAAACTTCTCGAACTGTGAAATAATGAGATCCTGACCGGTGGAAGATATAATCTGAGAGGTCGCATTCGAGCATACTCAGGTCCGATAGAGATATCAGGAACTAACAGATAATTTGTTTATACCGAACCGAATTTATCTGCCATGGTGAAAGCTCTTCATTGTCGCGTACTTCAAGGTCATTTTCATCAAGGATGAATTTATATCCAAAAATGTTGACAGGCGCTGGGGGTGCTATATCTAAGTATCGAGCCCCATACTTTGTATGAAGGGGGTTTAGAGAGCGCCATGTTTGACAGATGCCTGCATCATATGCGTTGTATATTTCAATCACTAATTCATAGACGTGACCATGCCGCAGCCTTTGAAATTTTTGATAGTCTATTGACAGCCTGTTGAGATACAGACTCCTGTATATTTACTGTTCCCTTTGGCTCGTTCATGAACATGTCCTGGTACTCTAGACTCAATTCACTGCCGACCAAAGAGTTACAAGCTCTACCACATCGTTTACTTCACTGTCTGGGGATTGACGAAGGAGAGAAGTTGAACGTCTTGGTTTTCGGAATTTCCTGCGCCTGGCCTTTCCGTGACGCACTCCTTGAGCAACGAACACAGCTTTGAATGCAATGTAAAGCAGGGACGGAGATGCAGTGACTTTGACACCAGTGGATTGTGATACAGTAAATCCATTGTCAAGAATATTACCAGCCGCTACTCTTTCATTTAAGTCTTTTGGTAGTTGCGATAATTATCGCACCTCGCTCTTTTTCCCAAGATTCTGGAAGTAAGAGAATTTCTGTTCTCGTAATCGTAATAGGAAACTCCTCGATAGAAGATAACGCGTGTGTATTCAACATCGGTGTTGAATTATATTCTAAATGCTCTGTCTCAATTTCATTGAGGGACATGTATGTGCTTGATATGGTCTTCATCAAAACTTGGCCAATTTGTGTGCTATAGTTTGAGGTGCGTTCAAAGTCTGGAGGTTTCACAGTTCTGATATCTCTTGAAAATTCTGCCAAGACACACTGGGTATACGAGGGTCTTCCAGAGCGGTATTCCAGGACTCAACGTTGCTTGGTGGTATCTCATTACATGCTTCCTGGCGAAGCGACTGGATAGAAGATGACGACTGTGAGTCTCTCGTTTCTCGGAAATGTTTCTTCAAATAAAATTCCAGTATTACTTCCATAGCATCCACGACACGTTTCTCAATGAGACGATTGCTTTCGAGGTTCCGCTCTCTTTGCTTTACGAATTTATCTGCCATATTTTGTAATAAAAATCTCGTCTCCTTGGCCATAATAGCAATATCATCCACCCTCGCGGGTGAATAATTGACAATTTCGGAAATCTGCGAATTGGATAAATTGAGTTGCTTAATCGAATTGCGTAGGTTGTCTATCTTCAACTTTGTTTCATCGTGTTTGAAACTAGTAAACTATCAGAATAGGGACCAAGAGTATGAGATGCCTTGTACTCACACATTCTGCAAATGCTCAAGATGCCCTTTGGCTTCTCTTAGACGGTTCAAACGCTTCAAGATCTTACTGGAATTGAGAGCCAATGCGAGCCTTGGTCCCCACTTCTTATATTTTCCGACGCCTGTCAAGAAACCGAATCTATCGACCACATCTCGTAGTTTGTGAATTGACTCATTGCAAAAGTCCAAAGCGGCAATAAGTTCAGGATTTTCAGGTGTTGAGGATGCAAACTTGGCGGAAATTCTCTTTATGATAGACAGCTCGTCAATAAGCAAGCGGAGTTCTATGGGAGCATCTCTTCTGTCTTCAAGAATGGTGTGTAGATAGTCACGGCCTTGTATGACTTGACCTGTTAACCACGGCATTGACTTCACCAGCAACCGCTAACACTTCCATCTTATGATCAAAATCTAGGAGAAAAATGTGGAATGTAGAATTTTGAAAAAGATCAGGAGATTGAGATGAAGCATGAATCAAAAGAGGCTGAGATGTCAAGGTTGAGCTACATCACATTGTGCCTGAGAGTTATCATCACAGCCCTCAATGTGTAAAATCGTCCACGTAGCTGCCTGCCAGCTACCAGACATAAATGGAAACTCAAAATAAGAACGTGAAATCCATCAAATACAACTTTGTAGTTAGAATTTCGTCAGCCAGCGCTTCAACCTTCCTTAGAAGTTTGCGAAGTAGTATTTCGTGCCTTTTGCTTTCTAAAGGGGGACATTGAATTGCAAAGACTAAATTATATGACGGCGATAAGGCTGAATTTACTCATCACGAAGGTCCTGTGGGAGACTCCGAAGTTTCGATTGGTGGCTAAGAAGATGCATAATGTCAGGTTGAATCGACATGTAGCTAGTGTGAGCGAGAGCATTCCGAACGATTTCGAGTATTGAAGAGCGATATTTAATCGAGCTTGAGAATGACCAAATTTCTTTTGGGTTGATGTGAAAGTGTATGTTTGTGGATGAGAAATCGTCGGTCCATGCGAATGAAGTCACAATCAATTTAAATGCACATAGAGTCCATCCTGGTCACCCTAATCCAGCACTTTTGGAAACACCACTCCACCACCATCTCGACGTCAAAGCATCGATCGTTGCAGTCAATTTTTAGACTCCAGCACTCCAAAATCAGACACGTTCATTCATATTCTTCAAATATATCGCCCAGATCATTGGCAAATATTGTACAGCGGTAGGATGTGCGCTTGCTCCTGACACGGATATAGATTACTTACTTCCAGACGTTGGCTGGCTCCTTGGTCAAACTAGAGAAATGAAAGATAGAAAATGAAGACTGGAAGGAATGATTGTTGCGAGGAATGATTGTCGCGAGGCATTGATGATGAGTTTAATGGACAAACATAGCTATCCAGCTTCGAATCTCCTGATGTCTTCGACATCATCGATACATACACCAAGATACTCAGCCCGAAATACACGTATGAGACTCACAATAGACGACTTGATGTCACTGGAACAGTGAGCAAGACATTGATGGACTCGCTCGAGCACGTATCGGACACCGTTGCCCAAAAAAGCTTCACTGATTTCAAATGACAAGATATTCTTGTCACCTCGTGAAGTTTTACCGTGTACCTCTTTGTACACGTGAACCGATTTGTCGTCGCCGTTACATACCGGAGACAGAACAGGATTCTATTCAATTGTCCGAGCAACTGTGCAGGTGAAAGGCTGTCCTGACGATCTGACCTAGAAGTATAGCTCAGCCGCAAAACTTCCTGTTTGACGAAAGATCTACATCATCGTTGGCATGGAGTGAACCTTGAACCGTACAGATATTGTCGGCTTGCAGATAGATCATCGTAGAGACATACTCTGTATACATACGGAGCTCGAGAGTCGGACCAAAGATTGATCGAATCAAGGTTCCCAGCTCATACTGAAAAATCTATGGACAATTCCAATGCTCAGTGTTCCACTGAACTGTACAGTACCTGCCTTCAAATATCATTTCCTACCAGATCACAACCTTCTTTCCAAACTTCCAGAAGAATGAAACTTCCAAAGACCGCATCTCACCCGACCCATCACATCCATGACAAGCATCATTCACCAGCTTCTTTTGACTTTTGAAGCTTCCAGAGATTCTATGAAGCTAAACATAACCACTCAAAAGGGTTCCAATAATGCTCATGAGTTGTCTAGACAACTGTTCACCGATGATAGGAGAATTCACTCGTTAGTGGGGACCCTTTTCCTTTCCTTTCTCGTACGTTCACGAGACACAGTGCACATACACAACACATAGGGCAGACATGCGGCGCCAGCACGTCAACATTCTATTTTATCATTCCATTCTCTCCCCATACAGGAAGCGGGCACGATATTCATTGGAGAAATTTCAATTCCGAGAAGCTTGTCCTTTGAAAGGTTACATCTATGACCCTTGGATAACCCTCTGATGATACTCTGAGCATTTAGCATGAATGTGAAGAAGCAAAATTTTCCATCTTTTTTTGAATCATTAATAATCATTAATGAAAAAGAGCCCATTCCAACCTTCATTTTCGTTAGCAATCTTTTTTTTTTTTTTTTTTGGATGAAGATGCGGTGACAACAAATTCTTCACAAATGACAAGGATAGCTCCGAGCGACAGACCTGAGACCATCCATCATTCATCAAAGACTTTACAGAAGTCTCGAGAAGGTTAGAATCCACTAATGTATCCTATGTATTCAATGTATCCCATGTATCCCATGTATCCAATGTGTCCAATGTGTCCAATGTGTCCAATGTATCCAATGTATCCACTAATGCATCCGCCAATGGACCAATTGTACCCAACTTTGAGTGGCCCGGCTGTGACTAATCTCTATCAAGCTTAGTCAATACTGGACCCCCTCATGTTCATCGATAACCTCATTTTTGGACGGAAAAAAATATCAAAATCTTTCATTGGGAGAAATGGATGGATTTATTCACTCGTCACTCGTCTATAATTGAATCACTTGATGTCCCAATACGGTAATTATAATCATAATTGATTCAATCACGACCGTAATTCAATGAATACATTCACAATCATTGGCTGAATGGTGGAAACTGCACAAAGTGTGGATAGGAAATATTCCAATACAACCAACCTATCAAGTCAATCAACACCCACCACCACCCACAGTGACCACACCCCAGGTAGGTAAATCTTTTCAAGGATGCAATAGATGATTTTTCCTTTTCCCTCCAATTCTTTGATTCTATTCATTCATTCATTCATCCATCTTCCGGTCCGGTCCTACCAACCCCTCAATTCTACCCATACAAATCCACCCATTTCTTCCAACCCTGTCTTTTTTCCCTGCTCATTGTTGGTCCCATCTACCGTATTGGGAAAAAGAAAAAGAGCTCACACTCGTTGCCTTACCACATCACAAGTCTCTCCGACTTTTTTCTCCCAACCTGCAAGTCAACCTCACTCCATCTCCTCTTCCCCCCCCCCCCCCTTGTGTTGCCATCTCACAAGAAGGAAAAAAGTGAGTAGAAGAGAAAGTAAACATCCAGGTTCTCTCGGATGTCTCTTTTTCGATACATTGCTCACCTACCATACGCAATCTTCAATCCAACCATGTTCGGTCGTTTGTTAGGTCGTACCGCTTCCCCTCCAAGGGCTATTGGAGCTCCTCTTTCTCGCACAACTACTACTACATCAGGTGGAGAGGATTCAACTACATCTGCCGAGCGTGATGCTAGGGATAAGGAAGTCGTCGAGGCTGCTATCGAGGAGGCTGTGAAGAAGGCCTTGAACTTGGATGTATTTTCAAATGCCATCGCTACCTCTTTGCTCTCGCAGATTAAACCAGCCTTCGAATCATCCATCAGTTCTATCCCTACCGCCATTCAGAATGTTTCCCTCAATGTTGATGCTGTCGATACAAAACTCGCTGCCACAGCTACCAAACTTTCTCAACAAATCGATGCTAGCAATGCAGACACTGCAAGCAAATTAGCTGCCATCGAAGAAGCTATTGCCAAGATCACATCTTCTTTGGAGGGATTAAGTGAGAAGTCTTCCTCTCCTCAAGATACATTGGTTTTGGAATCGCACACTACAAAGTTGGATGGAATTGCTACAGAGGTTGCTGCTCTTAAGAGCACTACAAATGAGGAGGCATTCAATGCCATCACATCCGACCTTGCTATTATCAAGAGTGATGTTGCCGCTATCAAGGAATCCGATTCAAGTGCTACCTCCAAGGATATCCTCTCCGCTGTTAACTCTTCCAACGAATCTCATGCTTCCCATGCTGCTGTTTTGAACGAAATTAAGTCTGCTGCTGAAGGACATGCTACCACTCTTGGAGAAATTAAATCTACTCCTGCTTCTGCCCCAACTGATATTTCTGGTCTCGAGAACTCCATCAAGGATATTGCTACTTCCATTGAGGAAATCAAGTCCGCCCCTGCACCAACCACTGTCGATATCTCTGGTCTTGAATCATCTGTTAAGGAAATTCTTTCCACTTTGGGTGAAGTCAAGGAAACTGTTTCTGCTCCAGCTGCCGCTGTTGAGAAGACTGATATTTCTGGATTGGAAGCTTCCGTCAAAGAAATCTCTGCTACTGTCAATGAGATCAAATCTACTCCATCTCCAGCTCACGAAACCATCGACCTCTCTCCAATTGATGCTCAACTTAAGGAAGTTGCTTCTAACGTTGCATCTATTAAAGAATCTACCTCTACACCAGCTACTACTCCTGAACCAACTGATATCTCGGGCTTGGAATCTTCTGTCAAGGAAATCATCGCTACTCTCCAAGATATCAAGACTTCTACCAGCGCCGCTCCTAAGGAAGTTGACTTCTCTCCAATCACATCTACCCTCGAATCCCACAAGAGCACACTCGAGGAGATCAAGTCTTCCGCTTCTGGACCAGTCGACCTTTCTTCTCTCGAATCCTCCATTGCCGAAATCAAGGCAGCTCTCGAATCTCATTCCGGTACTCTCACCGAAATTAAGTCAGTTCCAGCACCAGAAAAGACTGATCTCTCTACCATTGAGAGCTCCGTTAACGAGATTAAGACCATTGTTGAGGAAATCAAGACCAAGGAATATCCAGCTGCTGAGAAGGTTGATTTGAGCAATGTTGAATCCTCAATTGAATCCATCAAGGCATCCGTTGAGGAAATCAAGACCAAGGAATATCCAGCTGCCGAGAGGGTTGATTTAAGCCACGTTGAATCATCTATCGAATCTATCAAGGCATCCATCGAGGACATCAAGGCTAAGGAGACCCCAGCTGCCGAAAAGGTTGACTTGAGTCAAATCGAGTCTTCGATCGAGTCTATCAAGGCATCCATCGAGGACATCAAGGCCAAGGAGACCCCAGCTGCCGAAAAGGTTGACTTGAGTCAAATCGAGTCTTCGATCGAGTCTATCAAGGCATCCATTGAGGAAATCAAGACTAAGGAGACCCCAGTTGCCGAAAAGATCGATTTAAGCGCTATTGAGGCATCAATTGCCTCTGTGAAGAGCACAGTCGATGAAATCAAGGCTAAAGAATCACCTGTTCCAGAATCAGTTGATTTGAGTAAGATTGAAACTTCCATCGAGTCCGTCAAGTCCATCGTTGAAGAAATCAAGGCCAAGGGGGCTCCAATTCACGAAAAGATTGATTTGAGTGTAATTGAGGCATCCATTGCTTCAGTCAAGAGTACTGTTGACGAAATCAAGGCTACTCCAGCTCAAGAACAAAAGGCAGTTGATCTTTCCAACATTGAGTCTTCCATTGCAGCTGTTAAGGCTACAGTGGATGAGATTAAGGCTACCCCAGCCCCAACTCATGAAGCTACTGACCTTTCTAACATTGAATCATCTATTGCTGCCGTCAAGTCATCTATCGATGAGATCAAGGCTGCTCCAGCACCAGAGAAGGTTGATCTCAGCTCAATTGAATCATCCATCTTAGAAATTAAGGCAGCTATTGAAGAAGTCAAGACATCATCTGCACCAGAAAAGGTTGATCTCTCCAATATCGAATCCTCCATTGCATCTGTCAAGACTACTGTTGATGAAATTAAATCTACCCCAGCTCCATCTTTCAAGGAAACTGACATCACTGGTCTTGAATCTTCCGTCAAAGAAATAATCACAAGTATCTCTGCTCAAGATGGTGTCTTGACTGAAATTAAGACTACAACTGAGAAATTTGATACCAAGGAAGTTTTGACCAAGGTTGAGTTGATTGCTCAGGAGGGTGTTTCTTTGAATGAGAAGGGACTTGCTCAAATCCAGGACAATGTTAAGACTATTGAGTTGAAGTCACCAGCTACACCAACCTCACCAACAACTCCAACCTCCCCAACATCTCCAGGATCCCCATCATCTTCGACATCCCCATCAAAGTCTACCCTTAAGAAGAAGAAGAGAAAGGCGGCTGCTGCTGCTGCCGCTGCGGCCGCATCAGGAAATGCTACTCCTGAGGCTAAGTCTGAAGCCGAGAACGAACAAGCGGCTTAATTATTCTCTTTTAATTTTGAGTCGTTGCAGTTGGGGGATATTTATGAACAAGGAGAGAATAAGTGAAGGGTTTATTACGGTGGAGAATCGAGTGGATGAATGTGAAGAATGTCTACTAATACTGGACAAAATGACAACTAAATGGAGGAGCTAATAATGATGATGTAATGGGGGGATAGTCTTCTAGCATGTCTAATGGATACCAAAACTTTGTATACATTTCTATCATATTTTTGAGCATTTGCATTTGCATTTGTATTTACTGTGGCTCTTGCTTGATTTGCATTACATATTTTGCGATGTTCCATTGCATTACATTGTTTGCAAATATGCGAGCATTATACCCGTCTCTTGCTTTATTGATGCAGGTGTGTATGTATGGAGATGGATATGAGAGGTGGTTTTATGAATTATGATGATTTTTGATGGAAGTGGAGGATGCAGGATGAGTGATAGTTGGTGGTGATAGTAGGGGAGGTGGAAGGAGTAAATAAAAAATACGTGCTTTTGTCTTATACTTATGACTTTTGGTATTGGTTTGAGTTGTATGTGCTTGTGTTTTTGTTTGTGGTCGTGCTTGTGCGTAGGTATGTGATACATAGTTGTACTTGTCATACTCGCACAGCTACATAGTCGTTACATCCCCGCAAAACAAAACACAATATCGGGGATGTGGTGTTATGTGATACCTGCTTCTCTTCCCCAGCCGAGATGAACTTTCATGAAGGATTGTACAATAGTTTGAGTTCGGGATTGGTGAGCAGTGGGAGGCGAGAGCGGACGTGGATGTGAATCCTTGGAGCGAGGTTGTGGAGCATGGAATTGGTCGTGTAAGTGTATAGTAAGCAAATTATATGTTTCATGTTTTGGCATATCTTGTTTGTCTGGAGAGATGAGTGGAAAGATGATGAGGGGAGAGAAGAAAGAAAGTAAGAATGAATGAATCGGAAAGATGGGTGGATGGGAAGAGATAAGAGATGGGAAATGGAAGATGAGAAACTAGGAAGGCTGGGGTTTATGGGGTTTGCTTTGTGGGTACTCAGATAGTGCGGTAGGGGGGTGGGTGTTTGGGGTTCTTGGGATGTTTGCGGCTGAAGAGGGCGGGTGGAGGAGGAGGGGGGGGGATTGAAGATTTGGGGAATTGAAGAATTAATTAGTCGTCTGTTTTGTTGTTGGGTTGGATCATTCTTATTTGTTCAATCGTCGTTTCGTTTCTTTTCTTTCTTTCTTTCTTTCTTTCTTTCTTTTTGCTCAGCGTGAATCGTAAAAATACCATTTCGTCTGAATGTCTGGTTTATCATGTTTCTTGTATTTTTAGGGATGTTCTTAATCTTGGAGTATGCTTTCTTGATGTTGTATCATTCTTCCTCTCTTTGTTTTTTTCTTTGCTGGCTGCTACCCTACTCTAGTGGTATTAGTTTTTAAAGCTTTGGATCGATGAGGTGTGTGTGTGTTGCATTGTATGTTTTCACTTGAAATTTGAGAAAAAGAGGGGGGGAGGCAAGGGGGGGGATGAGGAAATGGATGGATGGATTGTATCGCATCGTCTTGTTGTACCAAATTCCAGAGATCCAATTTTAGTTTCGGATGAAATAGAAGTCTGAGTCTGAATCTGAGTCTGAGTCGAGGTCTTGAACGCAGACTCATATTTGCGTGAAGGACGGTAGATTTGGATTTGGGTTGAGATAAATTAAATGAGACTTTTGGTGCTTCCATCTGTGGTTTCATGCTTGTATTTTGGATTGATGTGGGGGATGGGATATGATATGGTGATATGGTGATATATCCTCTGGACTTTTCTCTCGCGGGTTTTGGGTCTAGGCGTGAGTATACGGATGGGATTACAGAGAAGAAATTGAAGACGGAGGATTTAGACTTATACATTCCATCTCTTGTTAAAGGAAAAGGAAAAGCTAAAATAAAAGGAGAATGCCACCTTCTCATCAACGACATCGTCGATCGCCGTTCAAACGTACTTCATTCCGTCGTACATCATCGGGTTCGAGTTCTTTGAGATCATTTTCGGAGATCCAGTCTCCTCTTCATACTAATCAGTCTCAGTTATCAAATCCCGAAATCTTGGAATGGAAGAAAGAGAATTTTTCGATTCGAAATGTGGATACGGATAAACACTCTGTTACTTTTCATCCTACGGTTATGGTGACGATATGTCGAGATGAGATGACTGGGACGAGAAATGGGGATGGAGAGACGTCCCAATCGCAATCGCGATCTCAATCTCACGTTCTCCGATGCGAAAATATAATAGGAGGGATCGAGGGAAGAGATATTAGTCCAAATCCTAGTAGTGCATATTCTATCAGCACTCTTGGATATCCAACTACAAATGCTGAGGATGGTTCATATACCTCTTGTTCTTCTTTCCCGACGACTCCGGAACTTTCGCTCGGGACATTGACCTCGACATCAACATCTGCGGTTTCGGTTTCTGATCCTGATACTTCGTTTTTGGATGCGCTGGGGAAAATCGACGAGGAATCGGGTGTATCGGTATCGAATTCACGAATGCAGAGATGGAAAAGTTTTGGGATGGTGAGGGGATTTTTGGGGGGGAAGAGTCGGAGGGCGTGGGATGGAGATGAGGATGTAGCGGGAGAGGAAGCGAGAAATGCATCAAGAAAGGGAGATGGGAAAGAAGAAGAAAGGCGGGAGAGAAGAGTAAGACCTTTTCTGAGGAAATATTGCCTTCATCCTTTTAGTATGAGGAGTGGATTTCGATTGGTGGGGTGGATTGAGGATCCGGTTGGGTGTTTTGTGGGGTGAGTTGTTTTTTTGGTTTTATTCTTGTTTTGAGTTTTGCCATGTTTTGTGAGTTGGGGGTTGAGGGCTTGGGATAGGGGAGGGGAAATTTGATATTTGATGTATGATGTATGGTGGGAGGAGTATCGAGATTTTTGTTTGGGGGTCTAATTCAGGGGGTTGAAGTGAGGACACTTGTTATGTGGATGGAGAGATGGATGGAGATGTCTGCGTCGTTTCATTCTTGAGTTGTGAATTTGATTCAACACCTTCTTGTTTCTTTTCCTGCTCTGTAGAGTTGATATCATTCTCTCCCATCTCTCACTTCACTCTTTCTCCCCTTTACTCTCCCTTTCCCACTTACTTATTTCCCCTCACACTCCCCTTACCCCCACCTAGTACTAAAACCTTAACCCCCTTTTCCCTTTCACTTACTCGTACTGTCGCTTTCAGAGCTAACAACAATCCGTATGTAGTAACGGAACAGCTTATGGAACGGGGTATGCATATGGAGGGGGAATAGGAGATGCGAGGTTATGGGATGAAGCGAGACGGAGTGGATGGGAGGGGGGGATGTATTGAGGAGGGGGTCAACGGGAATGGGGAAAATAGGAGGTGGAGATGGAGATCAAGATGGTTATGATGAAAGTAAGGGGGTCTGTATGAGGAAAAGAGTGTTTGCTTTGAGTTTCCTTCTGTTTCTAGGAATGGTTTCAAGAAGGTGTATTTTGTATAGGTTACATTCATCCCAAATTTGTTATTGAATGGCTATTTCACATTGATCATCCTTCTCTATCTGCTTCCACTCAGCTGTTTTATCTATTTTCTCTTGATTTCTCATATCACTTAAAAAATACCTCTCCATGTCTTCTTTTGTTTCTATTCCTCATTTAGTCCCGTTTCTCCACCTCGATTCTTTTTCTCAACTTCTCCAAATACGCAGCATCAGACGATGATATGATGAAATGAAACGACTTAGGTATATTATGGATCGATCTGATGTTTACAGACTGGATAGTCAAGATGTGCTTCGAGAATCAAAAAATACACACAAGTTTTATACGCTGCCCGAGTCGAGAGAATATGTATATGAACCACAGCGTGAGAAGGATACTAGCGGAGCATATTGATCACAAGATGCAGAAAGGAAAGGTCTTGGATCTTTGAAAAAGCCACGCTAGGGATGTCTGTCCTCCAATATTTTATTTACACAAACTTAAATAGTAGATCCATTGGTTGATTATTGGAACTTCGAGAATAACTTTTAAACCTCACCTTGCTCTGATTCTTGTATATATATCTAAAGCAATACAAGGTAATCAATGATCAAAAGCAGCATTAGGATGACATGTGTGACTTGTCACTTGTCAATTTAGCCATGTCTAATACATCTTGATTGTTTAGCTGAAAACTAATAAGTGTATAGTAGCCTGTTCGCTAAGGTCAGATGGAAGAATGTGGGGTTGATGTGAGGAGAAGCGAGGGAATATTTAATGTGTATATTTCTATTTCATTATATCGATAGATGGCGTAGAAATGACCACAGAATTAACCTTGTAGGTTGATAAAGTAAGAATTTAGGTTGGGAATGATTTCTGAGTATTAGACTACATGGGCAGATTCACGACTAAAAACTGATTATCTCGGTTATTGCTTTCTATCCCCTTTAGTGTAGTAGGCATGTAAAAATGTTGTTTTGTTAGGATTAAGAGCCCCTGGGCGATCCTGTATGACTCAATTATACATATATACATTAATAATTCTTTCAGTTTCAAACGTCTAATTTTCCCATCCTCACAAAATACACATCGCAAGCACATAACCACACACATGGGTTACCAAGAATCAATCAAAAGTCACAGTAAACGAGCTTCTCGCCCCAGCTTGAGTTGTTTCTTTGCTGCTATATCTTTCGGCTAGCTATTATTATGTAGTCTTATACAGCACATGCCTCATTTTAAAGTTTGTCCTTCCTCCCGTCTCTGATAGACCTCAATCTGAGTTTCTTCTGGGAGTGACTATTTAGATATCTTTTGTAGTTGCGGTTTTGTAAAGTCTCTCTTACACTGTTGAGGCTGTATTTGATTGAAATGTAGAATTCTAGGGGGAAATGGTGTATAGATAATTCATTCTTCGATAGAGAACCTTGTGGGAAACTCGGGAGGATAGTGAATCTTTCTATGAGAATAGAAAGCGTAAGACGCTGAGCGAAAGGAGTGATGAAAATTGTGAAGACTTAAGTGTAAGGCAGAAAGAAGAAAGCGTAGTCTAAACTTCACATGGACGGAGCTTTCGAGGATCCGGGTGAAAGGAGGAGAAGGGAAGAGAAGGAAGAAAGTGGTGCGATATTAGGTACTCGATGTTGGGAAACGACTGATGCGAGATATCGAAATGTGGAAAAAGGGGAAGGAAGAGGAATAGGCTGAATTAAATTAAGTATGTTTCTTTTGATATAATCTCTACTCATCTATTAACACCAATCTCTCAAACACAAAAGTACAAAGCACAACCATATCCGCCTCAAACAACCAACGCCTTAAGATTTCAATCGTTATACACGTGAAAGCATAGTTCGAACTCATGAAGCTCATCCAGTATACTGATATACCTTACAGTATGCTCGGAAGTTCCTAGTTTTCAATACCCATCTTACTGAAGTGTTCGCTTCGCTTTCTTCCCCTAAAAATTGAGATCAGAGGGAGATGCAGACTTATTATGATGTGGGAAATGCGAAAAGGGGAAAGGACGGGGGGTGGATTTTAATACTAGATAACGTCTTTTGAGTTTGTTGGAAATCTTAGGTAATGGGGGAAAACATCAGAGAGCTACAGGAAGGGTGTCGACTTTCAAACAGGAGTTGAACGAACAGATAACGAATGGGCATAAAGTTGACTGGTGAGCAGCGATATGATGGTTAACGAGGTCTCTATGTTTGGAAGCTTCAAATCATGCTTTTCCAGAGAGAATTATCCTTGATGATAGATGAATTTATTTGTAAAGAGTCTATGCCACCCACGCAGTGATGCTTTAATACTACTATAGATATAAAACTCTAGCCGGAGTCAATCCAAACGCCAAAGGTATAATATACCATAGTATACCAGCATTAACTAAATTACCGCCCCAATTTATTCATTATCATCCTCATCATCATCATCAATAGATTCTACAATCAAGTTCGCACTCTTGCCAACCCTCTCCCCAATTGTTCCTCCCCCTTCAATTTCATACACTTCTCTTGGTATGCTTTGCACTAATCTGAAATTGAATTTGTGTTCGTATCCTTCCGGCTTTTGCCTATTGTATTCCTTGCCAGTTTCAAGTAAATCATGGCATTCAACAAATGCGTAAAGTTCTTCGAATCCTGAATTGGCTTCGAAACGTCGAGTAATTCTAGCACCTTCTGGCATTCTCAATGCAACTCGAACAACGTTGGTTCCTGGCCCAGGCTCCGGTTGAATAGTTTGTACTCGCCATTGTTTCCATTGTTTTCGATTTTCGGCTAATTTGGCAGCAGCTTCTTCTTCTTCCTTCCTCCTCTTCTCTTCTGCTGCAGCCGCGGCTTCTGCTTCCTTTCTCTGTCTAGCACGTTCTCTATCTTGTGCTAAAGATTGCTCATAAGCAGAATCTTGTTCTTCTCTTAATGTGCGCTCGAAGTTTTGCGCTGAACGTTGTGCACGAACTGCAGCTAATTTCTCGGAATGCTGTCCCATTGCGCTTTGTAATTTCGCCACGAATGCGCCAGGTGCCTCTTGTCCAGAAATTCTAGCAATAACCGACATTGATGTAGCTCCTTGGTCGGGTGTATGGGTAATTAGGGCTGTGAATGGAAATTTGGTACATCTCAAAGCTGCAGAGACTTGATATGCTTCTGAATCGCGTACATCTCCCATCCAAAATATTATATCATTGGTTTCATCCCCCAGAAATGAGGTGACTTCTTCGGAGAGTAAAGTTTGATGCACGAAATCGGATGTATCATCATGTTCCGGAGACATTAAATGAACAATAAGGAATTTTAAGTCTTTCTTCGCAAGATCCAATGCTTGTGCATATCCCCCATCGAAAAATGGTATATTATTCGGTCCGTATTCTTCCTCGAATTCCCGCTTTGTGCGTGTTGCTGCATCTCTCGGTTTGAGTGACCTCCGTCCCATTGTGTTTGATGCGCTGGTAGGTGTGAACCTTGGCAGGAAAGGAAACAAAAATGCAAAGGCTCTATATCCCATCGAGAAAATTTTATAGAGTACACTGAATGGTGCGAAAAGTATGGCGAAAATAAGATTTGGCCTTCGAATTACTTGATCCTCCGGTTGAGGAACAATTCTTGGAGCCGAGTCCACATTTTGAGCTCTCGATCGATTTGAGGATTCATTGAGAAGACTATATTGAAGATTTTCTTGTCTCGAAGCTCGAGGAGGTGGAAAGTTTTGAGCTGCTAGTCCTGCTGCTGTTAAAGAATCATCTTCGCCGTCAAAGAACTTTGCGATTGCAATCTATTATAGATTAATACACAGATGGACATGGGATCATTGAAGGGTAAAGCTCGGATTCTTACCTCAACACTCCATTGTGATCTCTGCAATAGAGGGACTGCTTGATCTACTTCTTGACCAGTTACCGCAAGTAATTGTTGTAAAGCTGCCTGCTGTGTTTCGGACAGCTGGCTAATATCGGTATCTGGAGTAGCCATTGTTGTCGGTTTGTTTGTCGTGTTGTCCAAAAGACAGAAGTTAGTTGAAGTATATTTGCATATTCGGGGGAAATGAAGAATGCCGTAGTAATGGCCAGATAATAGTAAATTGTTCTTTGTATTCAGATTCGAGTTGGTGGGATTTCACGATTCACTAGGTAGGTATTAGCTCAGAACTACGGATAAGTTACAGTTCTAGAATTAATGATGATCGTTCAATGATTGAGCCACATATCGGTATCGGATAAACTGGGATTCCGTTCAAGCCACAACAAGGCTGAAAATCTGGATCCACCTCTTTATCGGATCGCATTAACTTCTAGTGCATCACCACCAGCCAGCCAGTGTTCCCACCTCCAAAGGAACCTCCACCCCGCGTCATATATATTATTGATATCTTCAGCCTCAACACGACTATTAGTCTAAACTTTCATTGAATGTGCTAGTCGTCACATTGTTTTTGATCTGTCTGTTCCTTGGCAGGATTCTTTGTGTAGCTCTCATGCTGAAAATCATTTCTACTTATTAAACTTCATACAAGGGCCAATCTTCGTTTTGTTGGATTTTAGGAAATGTCAGCCAGATTCAAGTGAGCAGAAAGTGTATCCATCACTTACCCCCTTCATTTTATCCCTTTTACGCGTCACTGCGGTCAATACTGTTTTGAAAACGCTAGATAATACTTGAAACTCTACCTCATGAGTTGAATTGAACCGAGCTAACATGATTTCTTTTCACTAGGCTTCCTAAAGTGTCATTGGGGTCCGGCAGATAGTTCTATTCACCGTGAAGCAAGAATATAAGATATAATATAATACAATGGCGGCTACAAGATTCAATCAACCCGAACTTCGCAGACCGACGAGTTCTCCGAGGCCGAAAGGACGTG